GTTAAACAAGAGACATTATCATCAGAATAAGATATCACTTACAAAATGTGGCCTTTAGTATTTATAATGGCTAGACATAACTTGAAGTTTGCTTAAATAGAAAAAGAATCATATAAATAAAGTAGAATTTCTGCTTATTTTCAGTTTAGATAACAGAAAATGTATCTGTGTAATGCTGTTTAGATTTATCTGAGGAAAAATACGGTTAATATTGTTCTATTGCATATATGTAATTTTAGAAGGGTGGTGTTTTGTTAGCACAAAGGTTAAACAATTAAAGTTATATTTTGTAATGAATGCACTGATTTAAAATTCATAGTAAAATGCTGCCCTTTATAAAAGTTTAATACATTTTTTTACTTGAATAAATTTTTCCTTACATAGAAATTTCTGTTTTCTACTTATAGTAAACTTTTTTATAGTAAATGTTTCTTGTTACTTTTTTCTTTTTCTCATTTGTATTCCAAATTAAGGTGTTACCTGTGTAGGTTTCTTCCAAATGTATATTGAGGGATGTTGAGGTTTGGAGTACATTACACAGGCAGCTAGTGTAAGATCCAGAAAGTAGTTTTTCAACCCTGGCCCACTCTGTCCCTCCCCGTTCTTATTTCCCAGTGTCTACTGTTCCCACGTTTATGACAATATGCAGCCAGTGTGCAGCTCCTACATATGAGTGAAACATCAGATATTTGGTTTCTGTTTCTGCATTAGTTTGCTTAGGATAGTGGATTCCATCTATATCCATGTTCTGCAATGGACATGATTTTGTTCTTTGTATGGCTCCATGGTATTCCGTGGTATATGAAATTTTCTAATCTACCTGAATTTTCAATCTACCTTAGATGTACCTGGGTTGACTCCATGTTTTTGCTATTGTGAATAGTGCTGCAGTGAACATACATGTGCATGCATCTCTTTGTTACAATAATTTATTTTCCTTTAGGTATACCCCTAATCTAGTAATGGGGTTGCTGCATTCAATGGTCATTCTTAGTTCCTAATTTCCAAACTGCTTTCCACAGTGGCTGAACTAATTTACACTGCCAGCAATAGTGTGTGTTTCCTTTTCTCCATAGCCTCCCAGCATGTGTTTTTTGTTTTGTTTTGTTTTTTTGACTTTTTAACAAAAGTCATTCTGACTGGTGTGAGATGGTGTCTCACTGATGTTTTGTTTGGCATTTCTCTGATGATTAGCAATGGTAAGCATTTGTTAATCTGTTTGTTGGCCACTTATATGTGTTCTTTTGAGAAGTGTCTGTTCATGCCATTTGCCCATTTTTAATGAAGTTATTTATTTTGTGCTTGTTGATTTGTTTAGGTTGCTTATGGATTCTGGATAATAGGCCTTTTCTGTATGCATAGTTTGTGAGTATTTCTTTCCATTCCTTAGGCTGTCTGTTTAATCCCTTGACAGTTTCTCATGTTGTGCAGAAGCTCTTCAGCTTAATTAGATCACATTTGTCAATTTTTGTTATCTTTGCAATTGCGTTTGAGGACTTAGCCATAAATTAATTCACAAGTGTGATGTCCAGAATAGTATTTCCTAGGTTTTATTCTAGGATTTTTATAGTCACTGGATATACTGTTATGCAAGAAAAGCACAAAGCTCTTTTTCTTTTTTTTCAAGATGGAGTCTCCCTTTGTCACCCAGGTTGTAGTGCAGTGGTGTGATCTCGGTGGCTCACTGCAACCTCTGTCTCCTAGGGTTCAAGTGATTCTCCTGCCTCAGTCTCCCAAGTAGCTGGCATTACACGTGCCTGCCACCATACCCAGCTAATTTTTGTATTTTCAGTAAAGATGAGGTTTTATCATGTTGGTCAGGCTGGTCTCAGACTCCTGATCTTAGGTGATCCGCCCCACCTCGGCCTCACAAAATGCTGGGATTATAGACGTGAACCCCTGTGCCTGGCCAAGCACAAAGCTTTTAACATAAAAATGGGAATGAACCTTTTAGAGTTTTATTTAATTTGTAAAATGCACTTATTTTGGATTCTATTAAATAATAAACATCCATGTGTGGTTAAGTGTTTCAATGTCAATCATTCACATGTGATTATGGGTGGGAAGAGTTGAGATGGTGCAATGAAACTTTAAAAGTGGTATGAGCTGGGTGCAGTGGCTCCCACCTGTAATCCCAGCACTTTGGGAGGCCGAGGCTGGCAGATCACAAGGTCAGGAGTTCGAGATCAGCCTGGCTGATATGGTAAAATTCTGTCTCTAGTAAAAATACAAAAATTAGCCAGGCATGGTGGCAGGTGCCTGTAGTCTCAGCTACTCGGGAGGCTGAGGCAGGAGAATCACTCGAACCCAGGAGGCAGACGTTGTAGAGAGCTGAGATTGTGCCATTGCACTCCAGCCTGGGGACAGAGCAAGGCTCTGTCTCAAAAAAGAAAAAAAAAAAGCAGTATGAACCACAACCAAACTGCAATCAACTAGAGAGTGAGCCAAAGCATCTCAAAGTATACCTTCAGTTATTAGGCAATAACATCCAATTTCTAAAACCTAACTTAAATGCAGCTTTTAAAGAAATTTTAAATGTGTCAGTTCAGTCACATTTATTGAATAAAGTCAATAAACGGGTATCTCTTGAGAATGACAGCTCCAGGGAATTAAAAAATGTAAAGTTCCCATTTTCTTTCTGTGTTAACATGGCTAATTCACATGTATAAGTCAACAGAAAAACTCAATATTTCACCAAACTAAAAATAAGAATTATATTAGAGAAATGAAACCCAAAAAAGAAAAGGTAATATAACTAACCTGTCAAGTAGTTCTCGCAGTTATTTGAAGTCTGGGGGTCTGAAGTAGGAATTCTTACGGATGTTTCAGGAATATATTTTCTGTTGCATTCTATACTATTAAGATTTTCAACATGAGGTGGCTTTGGGCCTGGCCTCGTAGGAAGAGTGCTGAGACAAGATTTCATCCTCTCTTTCTCCATAAGGAGCTTGGTGCTGAACACTGTCATTTTCTTCTTCGATCTGGAAAGAAAGCAAAGACAAATGCTTAGTATTTCCTTTTTTCTTTAATAATTTGGAATGACTTGCATTTCTTCTTAAAGTTGCCCTGAGAGTAAACCAAATTACCTACTAAATAGTGTTTTAACACCGAAGATGTGTGAGAGCATACCTGTTGTAAACAATTATAATGTAAAAATTGTTCTAAAGAAGTACATGCGTTTCTAAGGTGATTTCTGCTGAACCAGCAGTGCAAATAAAGTAGACAGTGAAGAGAAATGGCTGTCAGTGATGTTCGGCTCAACAGGTAACAATTGCTGCCTTCTAAAATGGCTTTCCTTGTAAGATGCTAAAGATTCCATTAGAAATACTTGTATTTAAGGGGTAACTATCTGGGAAAGTGAATATGTTAATTTGCTTAACTATAAGAACCACTTCACTATAAATAATTATATCAAAACATCATGCTCTACTCCTTAAATAATGTGGATTAAGAAAATGAACACGGAAAAATAAAAAGCTAGAAATACTTGTGTTTAGTAAAACAGTTTCAGGTTTCACTCTTGTACATTTCACCCATTAACTGGGAACAATGAAGCATCTGGCACTGAGGAATAATTCAGAGCAACAGCTCCTAGGGGAGAACTAGATGGCTGGGTTGGTGATCACAAAGAACTAAAGCATCTCTGAAGTCAATTAGCCCCTAACACTGTGACCAAGGTCCTGTACCTGGGGGCTTGTTCTTTCTGCCTTCCACACACCCCTTCAGGCTCAACAAGGTGTTATTTTTCAACCACTTTGTGAATTACACTTCTTTTCATTCCTATAATAATTATTCCCTATTTCACAAGAATGCTTTCCTGTAACATCTTGAAAGTGTTACACATATGGTCTGTCTTGAGGCACCCTCTAGTAATAATACTAGAGATCGCAATCAAAAACAGTCCAGTGCCTCAGTGCCACTTTGGGTTTAGGTTGCCATCTACCAAAAAATAAGTTAAACTCATTAATATTTCTATTTAGGGAAATTCTGACAAGTAATTTTATAACAAGATCACTTTACTAATTACAAAGCTTCAAAAATACTTAGTGAAAAAAACTAATAGATCAGGTTAACTACATGAAACGTTTCAGGGGAAAAAAGACATACAGCAACCAAAAAAGAAAGGAAAGAAAGAAACTATCCTTGACTAACATTTTAAAGGTAAGATTAGTTACTAAGATTATTTTCCAAAATTACAATACGCAATTACCATTCATGTCCTACTAATCTCCTGAAGCCACCTCACTAAAAATTATGCTTTCAAAACAAATTAATGAGCTTAATTCATCTTCTATGAGTGTATGCTTTGACTTACTTCATGTATTTTTTCTGACATGGAATTGTTAGCTTTTAATGTTACTCCAAATGCTTCCTTATATTCTTCTAATTCGGTTGTAACCTCTTCGTAAGCAGTTTTTATTTTGGAGAGTTTATATTTCGCATCTTTAATCTTGAGTTCCATCTCATTTTGTGAAGCTGTATTCTCCTTGTTTAGCTGCTCTAATTGTTTTTCATAATCTGCTTGTTTCTAAGACAAATGAAAAAATATACTTTTAAAACAATCATAACATAATTTACTATATATTTGTTGCTTTTCGAGTCAGTGATTCAAAGAGCAATTTTGAAGATGTTAAAAATGAGGCTGAAGCTTAAAATATTTATCAGCAACATCAACAAAACTAATTGAATCCAGATAAGTATAATTTATAAAAATTTGAAATCCTTATTAGGTTAGTATTAATGTAATCTGGTCATATTGAAAGTAATGGAATCCATTTATAATTTTAAAAATTGAACAATGAACAATGTAGCTTAAGAACAATTCAAAAGTACCACATAATTTCTAAATCACAATTTTCACTTATGCCCACTGGTCTTAATAATCAAATCACTCTATAGTGAGAATCATTATTCTGAAAGATTAATTTTGTTATAATAATAATGGAAATTTAAATATTTAAAAGAAAAAACAGATGCCATTTTTTTTCTCAGAACTCTACAAAGCAAATTGCTATAAGAGAGACAGAGGAAACATAATACATACATTTCCAAAATATAATTTGCAGTGAAATAAATGAAAGCACATTACAGATAAACTTACCTGATTTTAAAAACTAACCTGTAAATGGATTTCTTCTAAATTTTCTATTGCCTGCCTTGCCTTTTCTTGAATCTCCAATTTATATTCTTGTACTTCACCAACTTCTACCATATTTTCTTCCATATGTGTCTTACGATTTAATATTTCTTCTTCCAACATCTTTTTATCCTTCTCAAGTTTTTCACGTTTCTCTTGTACTTTTTTCATAGATAACAATTCCTGTTGAATAACTTGATTTTCTTTATCCAAATTGATACATTTTGAAGATACAGCTTCCTTCTCTGCTATAAGATCATCAAGCTGCATGAATAAAATAATATAGCTTAATAATGAAGTAGGTTGAGAATAATCTAATACAAAACCAATAGCAAATTTTAAAATACATTTACTTGCAATAACATGTTATCTATAACGTAGTAGGTTCTTCAAATGTGAACCCTTAAATTCTCCAAATTTCAAGAACAAAGTCAAAGCAACTATGAGTCACAAAAATATACTCTTTACTATCATCATCTTTACAACAGAACTTTTGCAATTGAACTTACTTTTATTTCTCTGACAATTTATTTTTGTTCCTTCTTAAATGGCACTAAGTTATCTCTTAGTAAAGAGTGTCACCTGGGCACAGTGGCTCAGCCTGTAATCCCAGCATTTTGGGAGGCCGAGGTGGGTGGATTGCCTGAGCTCTGGAGTTCGAGACCAGCCTAGCCAACACGGTGAATCCCTGTTTCTACTAAAAAATACAAAAAATTAGCCAAGCATGCCCGTGTGTGCCTGTAGTCCCAGCTCCTCAGGAGGCTGAGGCAGGAGAATTGCTTCAATACAGGAGGCGAAGGTTGCAGTGAGCTGAGATTGCGTTACTGCACTCTACTTGGGCAACAGAGCAAGATTCTGTCTCCAAAAAATAAAATAAAATAAAATAAAAAGCTGGGCACGGTGGCTCACACCTGTATTTGCAGCACTTTGAAAGGCCAAGGTGGGAGGATCACCTGAGGTGAGGAGTTCCAGACCAACCTGACCCATATGGTGAAACCTCGTCTCTGCTAAAAAAGTGTCTAGCCCCTCTCCGTCATCATTATTCCTCATAATTTGTCAGAAAAAAGTATCAGAGCTATCATATTGAGTTATTTAGGCCAAAGTCAATAAATGGCTCTCAGAATAAAACTTTGAAAGTAATATAATACTCTATACTAGGCATGGTGGCTCTTGCCTGTAATCGCAGCACTGTAGGAGGCTGTGGCAGAAAGATCACTTCAGATAAAAAATTTGAGATCAGCCAGAGCAACATAGTGAGACCCCCATCTCTCCAAAAAATTGAAAAAAAAATAGCCAGGCATGGTGGCTTGTGCCTGTAGACCCGGCTTGTTAAGAGACTGAGGCAAAAGCATGACTTGTACCCAAAGTTTAGGTGTTCTGTGAATTATGACCACATCAACACACTTCTGCCTTGAAGACACACAAAGCCCATATCTCAAACAACAACAAAAAAACCCCAAAAAACAAAAAACCGCACACACACACACACACACACACACACACACACACACACACGAATCCTATAAATAAGGATTCTGATGACATAAGCCTTTCTTTAAACTGCAAATGTTTCATGCCAATTTTAATTGTATTTTAAGAGGTAGTAATTCTTGGGGTAAAGGCCATAGAATAAAACACCCAGAAATAAATCCATATATTTACAGCCAACTGATTTTGGACTAAAGTGCCAAAAATATACATTAGGGAAAGGACACACTCTTCAAATGAATGGCACTGGGAAAACTGAATTATAACTTCCTATTGTTCTGGAAAATTTTACCTGACAAGAAACCCAAGTGGCACTCAGCGGATAGGAGGAACACACTTTACTACGCTGATGGGCCCAGAAGGGTTCACACCCAAAAGTCTGGACCCCGGCTAAGAAGAGTACAGTTTTTATAGGTGAAGGGGCAGGGGAAGTAACTCAGAACTTTAGACAATGCAGCAGGGTTTAGATGACATGGCAGTTTTCTTAAGGCTTTTCAGTTAGTAAGCAATAAATTGAGGCACAGAAGCAGAAAGAAGCAGTTACTAACAAAAATAGGGTCAGTTTTAAAAATAGGGATGGTTGCTGGCAACGTGCTGACAAAATCCTGGGCAAAATTTCTACTTCACTATCGAACACCATGTAACAAAATAAACTCAGAATCAATTAAAGACTTAAATGGAAGGCCTCAAATCATCAAACTACTACAAGTAAACACAGGGAAAATGATTCAGGACATTAGTCTGAACAAAGATATTTATGGGTAAGACATCAGAAGCATAGGCAAAAAACAAATGATAGACAAATGATACTACATTGAGCTAAAGAGCTTCTGCCCAGAAAACAACTGAGTGAAGAGAAAACCTGTAGAATGGGAGAAAACATTGTCAAGCTAGTCATCTAATAAGAAACTAATAATCAAAATATACAAGAAACTCAAACACCCTAGCAGGAAAAAAATAATCTGAGTTCAAAATTGGGCAAAA